ACCACGTCAGCATTTTATTAAAAATAATAATAACAATAATAATAATAATAAGGGAGAAATGTGGGATTCACATATAAATCAAGTATAAAAATCAAACAAATAATCATAATTGACCTGATTGTTTATAGTTCATGATGCGTGATCAAAACCGAAAGTTTCTGTGATGACTGCCCTTGCACTGTTCACCATATAAGAACTTATTCAGTATGTAAGAATTTGTTCACCATGTAAGAGCTTGTTCATTATGCTTCAGAAGATTGGAGACTGTTGAGAATTAGGCTTGGGGTTGATTAACAATTGTGCATTGAGTCCCCTATACAGAATTTTATTGTTGTTAACAACCATTCAATCAATAAATATGAGAGATGCCCTCTCAAAAAAGAAAAGTAAAAGTCAATTTAAATACTTTTATTTAAATAGGGCTCACCCATTGTGATGTTTTAAAATCTCTCCGTGCCTTTTTGTACAAATTTTTATAGACCATAGCAACCAATAGGTTTTTAAAGGCAGTCACTCATGTACATAGTCCTCTGTTACTTTTCCCCTGAAGTGTGTATTAAATTCAGGAGAGAAAAGGCCAAGTTTGAATTTCAACTCACATCTCTTTTTAAGGCTAAAATAAGTAAATAATGCTAATGGAACTTGGTGTGTTACTTGGATGAAGGCTTATTGCTGTACATCATTGAGAGAGACTACATAAGATGCTATAATGTTTCTGTCTGGAGTCTAATTTATACTCCAGCTTCTAAAATTGTTTTGAAAATGCTTATAACAGAAACATATATAACAAAGATAGAAACTTTTTAAAACACATAGGGAAGTTCCAAACGTTGCTAACCACCTGAGTTACATAAGTATCTGCTGATAATGACAAACAGTTCTTCAGGGCAGGCAAACCTCAAATTCAACATCTTAATAATAATAGCTAATACTTATTGAGCCCTTACTATGTGACCAGTACTGTCAACACTGCCTATAGATTCCTTCATTTACTACCTACAGTAGTCCTTACCCAAGACCACACAGTTAGAATGAATCGAGGCAATATGCTTCTAAAGCTTACAGACTGTACCATGCTCTACTAACTCAAATATGGCAAGGGTCTGCAACCCTCAAGTCTAGTCAGTTATGACGGTCTATCTATCTATCTGTCTATCTATCTATCTATCTATCTATCTATCTATCTATCTACTTAGATTATCTTTCCCCATCATGCTTTCTATAGGAGAATTCTATTTTTGCCATATTGGTTCAAAGTTTTGTATATTGAAGGAAAAAGACAATTCTTGAGGTACTAAGTTGGTTGACATAATAAAGAACTTGAGAGAAAAAGCCCAGGAAGAGAGCAGGAGACTTAAAAAGCCTACAAATTAAACACACACACACACACAAAGTACCTAGCACGGTGAATTAGAAAAAACCAGCAAACCCCAAAACAAACCCACTTCAAGGCATATGACCATCTGGAACACTAGGGATAAGATCAAAAAACAATCCTAAAAACTCTCAGAAAGAAAATTCATGTTTTATATACAGATCAAGAGTCTGGTGATGTCATGACTTCAAATTTCTTCAGAGCAACACTGGAAATTAGAGGACAACAGAGCATACCCTCAAAATTCTGAGGGCAGCATTTTCCAATTGGGAATTGTATCCACCTGTTACCATCCTGATGGTCGAGCATAAGTAAGACATTGCCATACATGTGAGTTCTCAAAATATTTACTGGTCAAAGTACACTCTCTTAGGAAGACACTAGAGGTTATGTTCTACTAGAGGAAGGGGAGAAACGAGAGAGTCCAAGTGCCATAAAACAGGCTCAGTACAGGAAAGAGGTGTAGAGATTTTTAGGATCAGAGTGTGGGAAATCCCTGATCATTAACTGTAGAGCCGGGCAGCTGAACTCAGTCCAGACTGGAGCAAGAAGACAGAGAGCTGGGGGAATTAAAAGGGGTGGTGATTACCTGATGGATATAAATGTAATAAGAGATGATCTGTGTGCAAAAAGAGGATATGGATGATTAGTGATAATTACACAGAAAATTTGAGCAAATATTCAAAATGTAGTATTAATTTCAGGGAAAACAGCAAAGGAAATATAGCATACAACATGGATTAGCTGTGGATATTTGCCTAATAATAATGTAAATTCTGAATACTGGTCATAGCAAAACTGTGTTCTAATTTTACTGGGAAGGTTAGGGAGAGTGGGAGCAGGTAGAGTTGTGTATGTGTGTGTGTGCATAAGCACACGCACCCAAGAGAGCTAAATTTTCATCTATAGTGTAAGCTAAATCTAAACCTGGGAGGAGGGGGGACATTAAGAAGTAAAGTTAAGTCTGTGATTTAGAAATATCAAATTAAATAGCAAAGGAAATAGCTATAGCAGTTGAAAATAATTTATTAAGCACAGAGGGAATCTGGGCTACGGAGGGGAATGTTGTTATTCATTACAAGTCTTGGAGTGCTTTTTGATAATAAGCTATATATATATTTGATATACATAGACTTTGATAAAAATCAAAATGCAAATTTAAAATATACATTGACAAATGTTCTTATATAGTGAATATATCACTCATTAAGTTGGGGAAAATTAAAGTTAAAAATTAAAATTCATCTATATATAATGAACATTCGAGGTTAGTATGAATGTAATAACACATTGTTTTGAAAAACCAAATGCCTTAAAATCAGGCTTTCAAGAATAACAGTTCAGTTACTTTGTTGGATATCTTAATAATGATCCATATGTGTGTGTGTGTGTAAGTATATGTACATATATATACATATATAATATATACACAGAAATGAAGTTGTTATTGTTACATCTAACAGCAAAAGACTATTTTCACCGTCACAGTACCAAACACTAGCAAGAAATTAATTACTTTTCCAGGAAAATTAGCTTGATAGCACTCTACCCCCAGGCATTAAAAAAAAAAGTGCATTCCTTCCTACTTGTTTTTTCACTTTCAAAAGTTGCATTATCTTTCAAAACAACTAGAAAGAACTTTTTTTTATTAAGGTATCATTGATATATAATTTTATAAAGTTTTCCATGAGCAACACTGTGGTTATTACAAAGAACTAGAGAGAACTTGATCACCCTCTACTTGATCATATTGTTGAGTAGTTTTTGGCAAAGCCGGAATGTTTGGTATTTCCATTTCCTTACATCGTGGCAAATGGATAACTTGGCATTCTGTACACTCCATATGGAGGCCAGCAAGTTATAATTCTGCACCCAGGGAACAAGGGCACAAAGCCATTTTCACCTTAACATAACTTTTAAAACACACACCACCCAAAAATTATGAAATGATTCAAACTTTGTAAAGGGGCCAAATGTTTTTTAAAAAATCAATAAAAGCTGTCTCTTCAAGAACATCGTCTTACCCTGTCAATTTCTGAGATCCCTTACCATTCACTCTGTGAGGTGAGGGGTAACGCTTGCCAGGCATAGGGATGATTTATATTTTCTTCATTTAATTTTCCTCACGTTTCCATGAGACCGGTAGTATTATATACATTTTCCAGAAGAGGAGACTGAAGTGCAGGCTCCTTTCCAAAGTCACACAGTACAGAGGGGTGGAGCCGGGCGGGCGCCAGGCTCCCGGACCTGGAGCCTCCCTCCCATCCGCTGCGAGCCCCGCACCTGCGGGAGTCCCTCCGCACCAGGCTAGTGGTAAGCATTAAAAGCCGGTCAGCAAGGACTTCCGGTCAGCAAGGACTTGTTTCGTGGAAGGCCACAGAGTCAGCTGGCAGCAGAAGGGCTCAAGTGGCAGGAGAGTGTGCGTGTGCAGACGGGGAGCACCTGGGGGGGACGCAGCCCGGTGCTACCGGGCATTTCTGGGAGCCGCTCCTTGTGGGGAGACGGGCGGGAGAGAAGGCCGGGGTGGTAGGCAAGTCTCTTACCTGGCCGGAAAAAGAGCAGGGAGCTGGTAAGATAGTTTAGCAACTCCATAATCCGATGCTTTTCCAAGTAATTCCTGGCCTCCACCTCCCTGCTGCCGCCAGCCTCCATTGCGCAGCGTCGCGCCGTTGCGCGGCGACCAGGTAGCGTCGCGGCCGTGCGGCCCCGCCACCTCCGCCGAGTGCGGTCACGTGGCACGCCTCCCCTGGGCCGCGTCTGGGGCGCTCGGGGAGTCCTCACGGGTGTGGGCTGGCGCCAACGTGGAGGCCTGAGGGAGGCCAGTGCGGATCCTTGTGGGATTCTGTCCCTACCACCTAGCTCGGTACCTGTTGGTCCAGTGAGTGAAACCTCATAAGCTAATGGCACAGGATGACCTAGTAACCGAGGGAACTTGCGTAATTCTGGGGATGTCCCAGCAGGAAGACCCGGGTAGCGTCTTTGGGGTGAGCAGCCTGCAGCACAATGGGGGCAACGGTAACTAACCCGTTTTCTCTACCGGATTGTGGGTCAGGAGGCATGCCTGGATCCTTAGCTCCAGTATCTCCGTTTGCTGCTCAACTAGACTGCCTGGAGCTGGTCTTAAGAGACAGAGACCACCTCTCAGTAGTTTTGAGGAAGAGTCACGGAGTAAGGTGGGATGCAGGTGGTCAGGAGGGCCTCTACCGAGTCATCGTAGTACCTGTGAAGCTAACCTCTACGCTGGGACTTCTGTCCTGAGTGCTGGGCTCTAACGCCTGTGCCCTCACCCTTCACCATAGAGTGAATCCGGAACAGGTGCTACAAGAAGAGGAAAGACAAATGGCCAATCCGTATAGAAAATATTTTCAGCCTCCTCAGCAAACCTGTAAGTTAATTAAAACCACAAGAAAATGGCATTTTACATCTACTGGACTGATAAATATTAGGAAGCTGGTCAATACCAACGTGCTGGCAAGAATATAGTGTAACAAAACGGTCATGATGGGATGAATTAGAAATCATTCACCTTGGAAAACAATTTGGAATTATCTTGGCAATATAAACATGTTTCTACACTATGATCCAGAAATTCCACTCATAGAGCAACTCTTGTATACATGTACCAGGAATGTGTACAAAAATGTTCACAGTGGCACTGTTCATAATAGAAAACACAGCAGCCCAAAGGTAATCAAGACTAGAAGGATTTCTAAAAACTGGTGTGTTACACAATGGAATACTATAAAACATTGCAACAATGCAAATACTATAAAGGTACTTGTAACAAAATGAGTGAATCTCAAAAACATTGTCTGGAGAATGAATGTATGCTGTATAAATCAATTTATATGAAGTTTAAAAACATACAAAACTAAGCAATGTGTTGTTGATAGATTCAAATATATGTAGGAAATCTGTTAAATGCAAAGGAAAGCTATACAGAAAATGGAGCTCAGTTTTTGCCTTGGAGGTGAGAGGAAAAGGAATGGGTTTATGGGGAACTATCCTGAGGACCCCAGGTGTAATAGTAATGTGATTTTTCATTACATGAGTGGTAGGTTCACAGGCGCTATGGATTATAATTCTTTATACCTTATATATATTTTAGAAATGTTTTTTAAATCTCAGCATTTAACAACAATAACATTTAAGCAGTTAAAAAATAGAAGTTAGAAAGTGGATCCAGAAGGTCAGGAGACTGTACCAAACCTGAAACAGGTGGTAGCTGAGGTGCTGTGGACATAAGGAACTGAATCTTCAGGGGATGGGTCTACCCTGCGAATTCTGTGCCTTGAGCATGTAGGAGAACTAGAAAAGACTTTATGGCCAGTGGTTGGGACCTGGAGCAGAGAAGGATAATGCTCTTTGTTTTCAAAGTCTAGAGAGGGTGTTCCAAGGAGGCAAGGAACTCATTCTCTGAAATGACTAAAAACTATGTACCCAAGTTTGCAACACAGCTTAGGTTTGTGAGAATGAGAGTACTTCAGGAGGTTGTAGGAGAGCACTTTGCTAACTTTTTAGCAGCAGAAACCTTTAAAGAAATCATATATAGAATCCCCACATGTGGAAGAGATAAAGAAAGCACAACACTGGGATTCACATAAAATGACAGGGTCCTATTATTGCAACTACTTTAGCTGTGCTTTTCTCACAGAGGCATGACTGGCAGCCTAGGTGATGCTAATGACAGAATTCACTGGAGGCTCAGGAGCCCTGGCAGAACTAAGCTGACAAGGCAGATGCATTACTCTGGGGCCTGTGGACCTGAGGGGCCCACTCAGACTCCCAGTTCCTGATGGGTTCCAGGGAGAATTTGAAAACTGATGTGGTCTGTTATTCTTCAGTGTGTTTCGATCTATTCTTTGGGGATTTGCTTTATGTTCCCTGATGGAGGTGTCAGTGTAGCACAAACAGCAAAGCCTGTTATGTGCCCTCCCTTCCCCCAAATCATGATCACCTAAATGCTTGATCCTTCAGGGTTGACCAAAGATGTCTGATCACTTAGGAAAGTGACTGGCTCAGCACAGCAGAAGCCAGACAATGGCAGGGAGACTAAAATTTATAGGGACCCCTGCAGCGGGGACAGTGGCTACAGGACCTGGAAAAGGAGGACCTGAGTCACAGCAAACCACAGGGGGCTGGTCATGGTGCCCTCTGATGGACAGGTTCAGGTCCAGCATGGCCTGGGGAAACCAAAGTCAAAAATGTGAAGAACAAAGGTTCTTCATGGAGGGAGAGACGATTGTGTGTCAGTCCACTGGCAATAGTGATTTCTGCTCCAGACATTTGATATTCTTGAGAACTGCATTTACTTTTACAAGTTACCCAGTCCCTGAATAAATTGCACTGCTCTTTGAACTAGAACTTCAAATGACACTGAAATAGCAACAATCAAATTTGCTCTGCCCAGGAAATTAGGCTGAGAAAGCAAATTGGACCCTGCTGCTGTCTTCCCAAGCTGCTGATTATCTCTTCCAACAAGCCTGTGTGCGTTGTGTTTGTTTGCTCAGCACTCCCTCTCACAACATACCTCCAGCCCCTAGGCTCCGCTTCGCCTGGAAATCATGCTAAAGAGAAGGGTCCAGATGCCACCTAGTGGAGTCAGCTATTCTCTGTGGATGCCATCTCTTAAGACAATTTGAGCTTAATTAATCATCATCAACATCATCATCCTAACATTTCCTCTACTCTGTGTCCACCATCTCTTATTATTTCTAATCCTGTCAGTGGTTTAGGAGAGCTATTTGAGGTGGAAGGCTTTCACACAATGGTTCTCAACCAAGACTGTAGGTTAGAAGCTCCTGGGGTCCTGTAAAAGTACTGAGGCTTGGGCCCGATTCCAGGTCCATGAAACAATCTCTGGGGATGGGGCCTGAATAGTGGTAGTTTTACTGTTGTTATTTTCAACAGCTTTACTGAAGTATAGTTAACACTTAATGAACTGCATATATTTAAAGTGTACTCTTTGTAAGTTTTGTTGTATGTATACATCCATGAAATCAGTGTAATCAAGATAAGGAACATATCTGTCATCCCCCAAAGTTTCCCTGTGTTCCTTTCTGGATCCTTCCTCTCAGCCTGCCCCCTCCATCACCTGGCAACTATGGACCTGCTATCTGTAAATATAGATGAGTATACATTTTCTACAATTTTATGTAAATGGAACCATGCACTATGTAGCTTTCTTTGGATGGGGTTGCTGGTTTGGTGTACTTCACTCAACATAGTTTTTTCTTGAGACTCACGCCTGCTGTTGCTTGTATCAGTATCTCATTCCTTTCTATTGCTTAGATTCCATGGTACTGACATGTCACAATTTGTTTATCCATCCACCTGTTGATGGACACTGGGTTGTTTTCAGGGTGGAGTGCTTACTAATAAAGGAGCTACAAACATCCATACAGATCTTTGTGTGGATGTGTAATTTCATTTTTCTTGGTAAATACATAGGAGGAGGATGACTGGATCATACATTAGGAGTGTCTTCAACTTTTTAAGAAACTGCCAAACTGTTTGCTACAGTGGATGAACCATTTTACATTCCTGCATTGGTACAGTTATTAAAGGTTTCCCAGGTGATCTTAGAGGACAGCCAGGCCTGAGACCATGCATGAAGGCAGCTTGTGACACTCTGGGAGATGTTGATCAGGAGTCCTGAGAACCTAGGGTCTCCCAGATTGTGCCTGGTATGCTTGGCACGTCTCACTGGGATCTCCTGAGGAGCCCTTTAAAAATAGTGTCTGTACCACACAACTTCACTTATACATGGAATCCAAAAAACAAAACAATGAACAAACAAACAAAAGCCAGAAACAGACTCACAAATATGGAGAACGAACTGGTGGTTGCCAGAGGGGAGGAGGGTAGAGGGGCGGGCAAAACAGGTGAAGGGGAAGAAGAGGTACAAACTTCCAGTTGTAAAATAGATGAGTCACAATCAACTATAGTCCAATTAAAAATAAATAAAATAGATTAGTTGGGGGATGAACCATGCAGCATAGAGAATACAGTCAATAATACTGTAATAATTTTGTATGATAACAGATGTTTACTGTACTTGTGAACATTTTGTAATATATATAACTGTTGAATCACTGTTTTGTATGCCTGAAATTAATTTTATGTATCAACTGTACTTCATTAAAAAAATACATCATCTTTCCTTTCACCTCTGCAGAGAATTGGATGTAATTGCTCTGGGGGTGGGGATGTAGGGTGGGGGCTGTCTCAGGCATCACAATTTTTTAACAGTTTCCTGGATGGTTCTAGACCACAGTGGCTAGCCATTCCTGTTTGCCTAGGACTATAGGGGGATCCAGTGCTGGGAAACTTACAATCACAAATCTGGGGAGGTCTGAGGTCAACATTTGTCACTCTATTTGTGCACCACTAGCATGAAGAGCTCGGGCTTTGGTGTTGGGTAGACTAGTCAGTCTGCCTGTTGGCATGGAGTTGAAGCTCAGGGTTAGTGTGTGTTTGGGGGTAGAGAGCATGTATAAAAGGGCAAGTGGGGGTCATGAATGGCCAGAACAGACTGTGGGTTGATTTCCTTTCTCCATTTTCTGTTTCAACCAGGGACAAGTCAGAGATGCCTCAGGTAGTTTTGGCTGCAATTAAAAAGGAGGAAAAGAGACATCCAAAAGACAAGGAACAACAAATGCTGGTGAGGATGTGGAGAAAGGGGAACCCTCCTACATTGTTGGTGGGAATGTATTAGCTCAATTGTTGTGGAAAGCAATATGGAGGTTCCTCAAAAAACTAAAAATAGAAATACTATTTGACCCAGGAATTCCACTTCTAGGAATTTATCTGAAGAAAACAAGATCCTTGATTCAAGAAGGTATATG